CGATTATATATATATATATATATATATATATATATATATATATATATATATATATATATATGAAATCACTTAATTATTCGTCCAAATTTACAATTTCGTCTGCAAAGTATTTGAATTTTGGGGGGACGTAACAAAACGAGGATGATGAAAGCAATTTCTACTGAAGAGCTGCGGCACTGTTTCGCCCTAGATGGAAAAGTCGTTGGAGTAAAGTGTACACATTCTCTGGTATATAGAGCAAGTGTGTACAGTCTTACATTTTGAAAATGAAATCGTAAATTTGGAACGAATAATCAGGCAAGCAATTTTATAAAAGCATATTTAGTAATTTCGAAAATGAAATCTTAAATTTGGAACGAACAATCACGCAGTTAATTTTATAAAAGTATATTTAGTAATTTTGGAAATGAAAATTGACTGTAAACATGGAACGATTAATTGCGCGAGTAATTTTTACAAATTGCTATGTAAGCAATTTTTTTAGTAATATGATTATATATTATTAAACAATATATAATATGTAATATAATTATATATATAGTATTAGTATATTATTAGTAATACTAATATACTATTTATTACTAATATACTAATACTATAGTATAAGTATATAGTATTAGTATATTATTAATAATATAGTATATTATATAGCATTAGTATATTATTAGTAATACTAATATAGTATATTATAGTATATACTAATACTATTATATAGTATTAGTATATTATTAGTAATAGTAATATAGTATTATAGTATTATTAATATACTAATATAGTATAGTATTAGTATATTATTAGTAATATTAATATAGTATTATAGTATCATTAGTATACGAATTTAATATACTATATTAGTATTACTACTAATACTAATATAGTATTATTAGTATACTATATAGTATTAGTATATTATTAGTAATACTAATGTAGGATATATAGTATATTATATAGTATTAGCATATTATAGTATTATAATATTAATACTATATTGTACAGTATTAGTATATTATTAGTAATATTAATATAGTATTATAGTATTATTAATATACTAATTTAGTATACTATATTAGTATTACTACTAATACCAGTATAGTATTGTTAGTAATACTAATATGGTAGTATTACTATACTATATAGTATTAGTATATTATTAGTAATACTAATATAGTACATTATATAGTATTAGTATATTATTAGTAATACTAATATACTATTTATTACCAATATACTAATACCATAGTATAATTATATATATAGTATTAGTATAACATTTTATAAAAGTATGTTTATTCGTCTCGTAAAAGATGAACAAATCCCGCCAACTATTTGGTGCTTTTCGGCCACGCCACGTACTTCCCACGTTATCACGATGGTTGTTGCCTCTCGATCAGCACTTTGACGATCTTCGCCGGTTCGATTACCTGCAGTCTGCCGTTTCTCGGTAGCGCCAAGATCCCTGATCTAGCCAGATCGACGCCGGCGAGCCTCAAATCGTTCGGTCGCCCTATTCCCGCGGCGTGTCTCATGTCCAAAGGGAACGTCACGTGACTGTCCAATTCCGGTATCCGCTTTCCAACCCAGTTCTCCGCCGTTTCCCACTCCAAATCCGGAAGCCAATGCTTCTCCACGCCGGACGCTGCCTTTGCCATCAACAAAAACTGGAGAAACGCGCGGACCGCACTCTCCATGATGTCACACTTCAATCTGACTAGAATTCTTCCCTTGCGGCGCAGATCTCGGTGATGTCAGCACGATTTATATAATTAATCGTGCGATTTAAATCTTCAAATTTGACAACGTTCGAACGAACGAATGGCTGACGATGATTTGAAAGGAATTGGATTGAATTGGAGTGGAGAACGATCGACCGTCGAGTTGCACGGTCGTGCAACGAAGTGGATAATCGGGCATTAAAAAGGGGGGCGTGTGCGAGTGATTTACGACCGGCTGCTGCAGACTCGGTTCGTTTATCGCCGATAATTTCGGTCTGCGGTTTCCACCGATCTTTCTAGAACGCACTACCTAGGGTATTCTCTTTCTTCGTTTCGTTAGAAAACGAACAATTGATCCTTAACTGCTTGGCTGCTGCTGATGCCCATAGGCGCTCACTTCACTCGGAGCTGGCTAGGGGCCCATAGGCGCCGGAACAAACGATTATCGAAGATGGTTGCAGCAAACTTCACTTGAATCAGACGCAAGTGAATTCCAATTCAACGATCTTCCGTTAGTCGTATATATTGTTTGAACGTATATTGTTTCGCAGTTATTTCATGTATTGTTATTTGCATTGTTTCGTGTAAATGCTAGTGACAATAATTGCAGCGAACTTCACTCGAGTCAGACGTAAGTGAATTCCAATTCAGCAGTATTATGTTTTCCATTTATCGCACATTATATTATTTGAATGTGATTGTTTTACAGTTATTTCGTTTATGAAATTTCATTTAATAAAAATCTTAGAATGAAAAGACGCGATAATAAATTAATCTGTGTCTAAACTATGTCTTAATAGATTATTATATCATGAAATAAAACTTAAATTTTTAGTACGTGCAATAACAACTCAATACAGGATACGAATGAATAAATAATGCTGGTTTAACGTAGTGCAGTCCAGTGTTTCGATTATTTCAATATACAATACGGTGGCCACTGAAAAACTGAAAGGTTGGAAAAAGTCATGACTCGTTCATTTTCAATCTTTTTTATTTTCTCTTTTTTTGTAGGTTATAGAAAAGAGTCCATTAATTATATTTCCAAATAAAATAATGGAAAATTTAAAAAAATATGTTTGTAAAAGTTATTTTTGTTTCACATCATTCAGTCTTTCAGTGATTATTTTATACTTTGCGAGAAATGCACACTGAAAATTCCATTCTCAGTGTAAGTTAGGTTTAGGTCAGCTTTAGGTGTAAAAAACATTCCAAAAATTCAGTCGTTTTCAGTGTAAATTAGCTTTAGGTTAAGTTTAGGTATAAAAAACATTATTAGGTAAAAAAAAACAATGTGTTTGTAAAAGTTATTTTTGTTTTATATCATTCAGTCTTTCAATGACCACACTATACCGAAAAATTCTGTCGTTCTCAGTGTAAATTAGGTTTAGGTCAGCTTTAGGTTAGGTTTAGGTATAAAAAACATTATTAGGTAAAAAAACATGTGTTTGTAAAAGTTATTTTTGTTTTATATCGTTCAATCTTTCAA